TGGCCGAAGAGCTGCGCAAGAAGTTTCGTCGCTATTTGGCGCAGGGCCCGCTGGCCGATCAGCACCTTGGAGGGCACGGCGAGTCAGCGGTGAGTGAAGGGAGGGAGTGAAGAGAGGTGAATGGGTTTTCATTGAGAACAGGTTAAGATTATGATCAGAAGAGCGAGAGGGAGAGAGAATGGAGAATAGTCCTGATTGTTCTGTTTTTTCCCGAAAGCATTGCGAAGGGTTCTTCCGGAAAATCCCTTGAACACTGACACTTCGACACTTACACTTACACACTGACACTTCCTACAACATGAACGCTATACGTACCCCAGTGTTACGTACCCCAGTGTAAGTGGAAGAGCGAAAGCATCCAAGTGCAAAGTATGCAAGTGTCAAAGTATGCAAGCTCTAGTGTAATGATGCAAGTGCAACGATGAGTATGCAAGCATGCAATGAGTAGGCAAGTGTGAGCATGGAAGAACAGCGTCAAAAAACTAGCACGGGAGATGTCCTAATGAAAAACATTTCCCCATTTTATAAAATTAAATTCTCTCTTAAAGGCGGAGGGTGGGACGACCAGCGTCAACCGAAAGTGCAACCCTCTGCGGAGATCGTGCGTGTCGAGTGCGCGAAATGCAGGCGAGAGTGCGATTTGTCCGGTGCGCGCGCAACCCTTTGCGGAGATCGTGCGTGCCGAGTGCGCGAAATGCAGGCGAGAGTGCCGCGCGTCGGCTGCCCGCGCAACCCTCTGCGGAGATCGTGCGTGTCGAGTGCGCGAAATGCAGGCGAGAGCGCGATTCGCCCGGTGTGCGCGCAACCGCGGAGATCGTGCGTGTCGAAATGCAGTCGAGAGTGCGACGCGTCCGGCGCGCGCGCAACCTTCTGCGGAGATCGTGCGTGTCGAGTGCGCGAAATGCAGGCGAGAGTGCGATTTGTCCGGCGCGCGCGCAACCCTCTGCGGAGATCGTGCGTGTCGAGTGCGCGAGATGCATGCGAGAGTGCGATTTGGCCGGTGTGCGCGCAATCCTCTGCGGAGACTGTGCCTTTCTAGTACAACTGTAGTACGCGGAGCAATCTGTGGAGCTGGAAGCTGAGAAAACTGGCGACTTCGTAGTACAACTTTAGTACGCGGAGTAGCCGGGGAGCTGGAAGATGAGAACTGGCGACATGGTAGTACAACGTTAGTGCGCGGAGTAGCTAGGGAGTGGGAAGATGGGAACTGGCGACATTGTAGTACAACTTTAGTACGCGGAGTATCTGGCGAGGTGGAAGATGAGAACTGGTGACTTTGTAGTACAACTTTAGTACGCGGACTAGTTGGGGAGCTGGAAGATGAGAACTGGCGACTTTGTCGTACAATTGTAGTACGCGGAGTAGCTGGGGAGCTGGAAGCTGAGAACTGGCGACTTTGTAGTACAACTTTAGTACGCGGAGCAATCTGTGGAGCTGGAAGCTGAGAAGTGGCGACTTTGCAGTACAACTTGAGTACGCGGAGTAGCTGTGGAGCTGGAAGCTGGGAAGTGGCGACTTTGTAGTACAACTTTCTTACGCGGAGTAGCTGGGGAGCTGGAAGATGAGAACTGGTGACTTGGTAGTACAACTTTAGTACGCGGAGTATCTGGCGAGGTGGAAGATGAGAACTGGTGACTTTGTAGTACAACTTGAGTACGCGGAGCAATCTGTGGAGCTGGAAGATGAGAACTGGCGACTTTGTAGTACAACTTTAGTGCGCGTAGCTGGGGAGCTGCAAGCGACTTTGTAGTACAACTTTAGTACGCGGACTAGTTGGGGTGCTGGAAGATGAGAACTGGCGACTTTGTAGTACAATTGTAGTACGCGGAGTAGCTGGGGAGCTGGAAGCTCAGAACTGGCGACTTTGTAGTACAACTTTAGTACGCGGAGCAATCTGTGGAGCTGGAAGCTGAGAAGTGGCGACTTTGTAGTACAACTTGAGTACGCGGAGGAGCTGTGGAGCTGGAAGCTGAGAACTGGCGACTTTGTAGTACAACTTTAGTACGCGGAGTAGCTGGGGCTGGAAGATGAGAACTGGTGACTTTGTAGTACAACTTTAGTACGCGGA